AACTTTGTGTTGAGCAACAGCTTTGTGATGCAGGTGATATGCAGAGGTAAATGTTCATAGAGCCAGACATAAATCACTTCAGTCTAACAAAATATTTCATTAATAATCTATTGGCCCATAATTCAAGCTTTGGGAATGTACCACAGCACTAAAATATGAATTAATGGACACACTATAAAGGTAACTAGAATAGCTCCATATTGCGACCAGGCTGTTTGAGATGAATCTCTTAAAAAATTGGTCCAAAACACCAAAGCAGCATGTTTGGAGATGTAATGTCAGAAATACCAACTGGGCATTTTGAAGCAGACTAAACCAGAGTTAACTAGTTCAGTCATGTTCTCTGCACCCAGTAACAGTCAGGGCTCTGCAAGCGATGATACCCAGATGCAAAGACAGTAGACTAGAGACAGCAAGCAGAGTGAGGTGTGAAACATAGTCCAAACAGTGGGGCAGGGCAGACAACACAATAACAGGCAGGAAGGATGAGCACAGAGACGGTCTCCAAGTTGGCAATGGACTTGAACACAGGAGAGGCAGCGCCAGAGGAAAGACTCGGCAGGAACACAAAACTCAGTACTTAGAGGTAATAAGGTATGAATAGAAATACATACAGTATGTATGTAATATGACATTATACTAGTTATAGTACTGTATAAAGTCACTTTGGATAAAAGCATCTGCCAAATGCATGACTGGATGCACATACCCTGCTGTCAACACCTGGACATCTCGATTGATGTTCTTGTAGTGATGGCTTTTGTGTTCCACCAGAGAAAGGAAGTCATACAGGTTTGGGACAACATTAGGGTGAGTAGCTGATGACACTAAATTGTTTTGGTGAAAGCCCCCTCTAGAGTGAAGGTGTGAAGAGCAAAAGTTAATAGCTATCAGAACTATAGTCTGGATTGAATGAGTCTGTTCAGATGAATGAGCAATTTAGTAATTTAATTCATTACATACACATTTAAGGCCTTTTTAGATTACTTTTGTGCTAACTCGTTTATTACATTGATCTAAATAGAATATTCTTGTATCGTAATGATATAAAATACAAAGAGAAAGAAAATATATTCCATTCATTGTTTTTAACAACATGAAGTCAAGGTTTCCCAAACTGGGGTTCCTGAAGAAACTGCAGGGGGTTTGTGAGTTTAATTAAAAGCTAATAATTCATTTAACCATAAAAATTTAAAATTAAAATAAATCATTTTAAATTAACAACAATCAAAATAAAACACTTACTCAAAAAGATGACATATTTTATTTGTTTGCATGTTATGTGACCATTAACCAACATCAAAGAACTGTGAGCATGCAAATGCATTACTTATTAATTTATTACCTTAAATTCAAGTAAATGTATTAAGTTAAAGAGGTTCATCTGACAAAAAATACATGTAAATAAGAAATAACATTAATTTGTGCATTTTAATGTGTTTGAAAGACAAAAGTCTTCCAAAGACATGGTAATACATGATTAAATAAGAGTGATAATTCAAATAAAAATGAATATGTTAGCAATATAGTTGATGTAATGTTGAAATGTTGAGAATTTGAAATGTTGTTAAATTTGAAAATTATTTTTGTAAATCCGGTGCTCATTATAGTCATTATAGCCACATCACTATAGGTAGAAAACTATCTGAATCTGTATAAGTGGTAGGCTATTTTAGGAAGGAAAATTTAAAAGATGAAAAAGAAGAATCAGTCATAATCAATAAATTATGAATGATTTGTAGCTATTGTGTGAATAATATGTGATCATGTAATCAATAAAAAATAACTGATTACGAGTATTTTAAAGGGGTCATATGATGCGATTTCAATTTTTCCTAGAGTAGCACTTGTTGTTTGTCATTTCTCTGATCACAAATGCAGACAGAGTTTTATGTTTACGCGGCGCGATGCAAGACCGTATAAGTCATTATAATCAGTAATTATGTCCCCACTGGATGCAACAAATGCCTCGTTTGTAATGGGTTTTAATGTTTTTGTCTCGTCGCTCCGGCCGGGACACGACATCAACAGTATGTGAGGGGCGTAACATTTCCGTCTCACGCTTGAGGTATTCGGCCAATCACAACGCATTGGATAGCTGGCCAATCACAGCACACCTCGCTTTTTCAGACCGATGAGCTTTGTAAAAATTGACTCGTTTCAAAAAGGCAGGGCATAGAGGAGAAACAATAATGTACGGTATCTGGAAAATAATGTGTTTTTTTTTACTTTAAACCGCATAAACACATTTCATTACACCAAATACACAAAATAATGTTATTTTTAGCAGCATCATATGACCCCTTTAAAATGTGATATAATCTAATTAAATCTAATCTAATAAAAACCAATGCAGAAGCAGCACCGGTGGCAAGTTGGACTTCCTCAAATGGTGATGGAAATAAAACCTCTCCTGGGCCTTTTTCACAATTGAGCCTATGTATTTCAGGTCCTGTGAGATAGTAGTGCCCAAAAACCTGAATGACTCAACTGTTGCCTCTGTGCTGTTCATGATGATGAGTGAGTAGGGGTAATGCTGGGGTACTTCTCCTAAAATCCACAATCATCTTATGACTGCACCAGACAGCCAGCTGCTCAACCTGACAGAGGGGTTTTTAGAGGTGCAGTGTAGAGGGAGAAGAGCAGTGGGGAGAGCACACATCCCTGGGGGGCGCCAGTGCTGATTGTAGGTGTTGGACATGAATTTCCCCAGTCACGCTAGCTGCTGCCTATCTGTCAGAAGTCTGGTGATCTACTGACAGATAGAGCGAGGAACAGAGGGCTGGGCTTATTTGGTCTGGAGAAGAGCAGGGAAGATGGTCTTGAAAGCCGAGCTGAAGTCCACAAACAAGATCCTCACATAAGTCCCTGTTTTTTTCCAGAGGTTGCAGGATGCAGTGTCTTAATATTGACTACATCGTCCAACGACCTGTTTGCCCGAAAAGCAAAAAAGAACAGGCTCCAGCAAGGGTCCAATAATGTCCTTCAGTGGGTCAACCCCAGTCTTTCAAATGACTTCAAGACCACAGACATTAAAGCAACATGTCTATAGTTATTCAGTGAAGCAGAAAGGGACTCTGCACAACTCCAGTGATCTGTTGAAGATCTTTGTGAAGATGGGATCCAGCTGGTTAGCTCAGGATTTCAGAGAGGCAGGTCTAACGCCATCTAGGCCTGGTGCTTTTCTTGTCTTCTGTTTGCGGAAGACCCAACACACATCCTCTTCATGGATCGGAAGTGCAGGAGGAAGGTTGCTGGAGGTGTTGATGAATGTATGGAGAGAAGTTCAGAATGGGTGTGGGGTGTGAGTTTAGCAAAACTTTGCTATTGTTGTTTGTTAATAAGTTGGTTTATATGTTAATAAGTTCATTACAAATAAATAAATAAATACATTTCACGTAAATGAATCTAATCTCAAACTACTTCCAGATCTAGATTTGATTATAAACTTGGCATTTAGCATTTACGTTAATATAGTATATATTTAAATTTACATTTAGCAGATATTTATAGCTTTTATGCAAAGTGACTTACAAATGAAAATCTGTTGGGTGGTTTACCACATTATATTAAATGTATGCAAATACTGTAGCCTTTATTTTAATGCCCTGTGCTTCCTGCCAAAGTCAGTCTTTTTGTGTTACACTAATCAGGGTATTTATGGAATATAAAAAATAAAAACAATGTTTTCTGTATCTCTTCAAATGTGTAGGCTTGGTTTAAAGTGTAGTGAACTTTTATTACTGGGAAGCATCATGGAAGTGGCTAACCGCACACTGAATCCAATAAGGCTGAAAGAGATTTTATTGGATTCAGTGTGCGGTTAGCCACTTCCCTGTTTGCTTCCAAGTATTATTTTGGCTCTATGCACCTGCAGCAAAAGGATTTATTTTTTGTTATTTGGAGCGCTACAAACTTTTTTGAACTTTTATCACTGGCTATGCAAATGATCTTGAAACATAAAAATGGAATGATGACACTTGAAGTAATGGTGCTTTATGTAACATTGTCTAGTGTAATAAGTGTTAATGATAAATCCCTATTGACATTTGTACTGGTTACTATATACAGGCCACCAGGGTAACACAGACTTTATCATTCTTTATCAGATTTTCTATTTGAGATAGTGTTGATTGCTGATAAAATCTTAATTGTTGGTGATTTTAATATCCATGTTGATAATGAAAAAGATGCATTGGGATCAGCATTTATATAGACATTCTGAACTCTATTTGGCTTAGACAACACATGCCAGGACCTGCTCATTTTTGTAATCATACTCTAGATTTAATACTGTCATATGGAATTGATGTTAAGGCGTTGAAATTCTGCAGCAGAGCAATGACATCTCAGATCATTATCTATCTTGTGTGTACTCCATATAGCTAAAGCTCCATGTTACAAATATGGTAGAACCATCACTTCTACCACAAAAGAGTGCTTTGTAACTAATCTTCATGACTTGCCTCAATTCCTCAGCTTATCCAATAGCTCAGAAAAACTTTGTTGTAACAGAAACTATGGACTCTCTTTTCTAGCACTTTAGACATGGTTAAAAAGATAAAGCAAAACAGTCTGACACTGTGGTATAAGGAGCACATTCGTGCCTTAAAGAGAGCAGCCTAGAAAATGGAGGGCAGCTGGAAGCTTTTTAACAATAGTGAACTATAAAGATTATATAAAGATCAGTTCTGCGTCACCCTGTCACAGTTTATTTTGTGATAATAACTGACTGTACAATATCCCGCTTATTGCACAGCTACTCTCATTACATAAATACATGTGAAATATTGATTTGAGTTTAAACTCATTCATAATTGCCCTTTACCTGTACATGAACCTAAAGCTTCTGCTAAGAAACAGTAGTCCATTACTGTGTACAAAATGATCGGCCAAGCAACAAGACTAACACTGCAACATTAGTAACTTTCATAAGGAAGTCCTCCGAGGTGATTTTCATTAAAGTTGATAACCAGCATACAAGATAGAACCAGATGAAATTGTATGAAACGAGACAGGGCGAGTTTAATGTATGAGATATGAAAGTATTACTGGTTTCAGTCACCGTGATGCCATGACAAAGCTATATATTAGGAAATATCAGACAGCTGGATGCCATGACTGACCAATCAGAATCAGGTATTCCAGAGAGCCGTGTAAAGGGGATATGCAGAGGTAAATGTTTATAGAGCCAGACATAATCAGTCATAATAAATAACTTCAGTCTAACGCTAATCTATTGGCTCATCATGCAAGCTTTGAAAATGTAACACAGTGCTAACTTAAACCTTAATAAAATCTGAATCAATGAAAACACTATAAAGGTAAGATACAGATAATAGAGCTCAGGCTGTTCAAGATTAATCGCTCAGAAAGTTAGTTCAAAACATCAAAGTAAAAATATTAACTGTGCATTTTGAAGCAGACTAAACCAGAGTTAACTAATTCAATCATGTCATCTGTACCCACTCACACTTTCAAACATCACAATGCCCATTTTGTCTTATTTATTCGCATAGCTAAATTTTTTGAAGGAGCTCAGCTGAAGTGTAGTTGTGTCCGGCAATGCTTCAGGGTGTTTTTGGTCATGGTCAGGATTGCTTATGTTTTGCATTTGTCATTCAGCCAACAAACTTACAGTAATTTGGATGAACTAACTGGCAAAAAACATTACTTAGAAGTCAGGGTGATAATACAGTTTAAACAGAAATACATACAAATATGTATGTAATATGACATTAAGATTGTATATGTACTGTATATCTTAAGTCACTTTGGATAAAAGTATCTGCCAAATGCATGAATGGATGCCCATGTCCTGCTGTCCACACCTGACAACCAACAGATTACACTGTGTTTTAACTGTTCGGTATCAAATGCAAGAAAGAATCTTTATGAATTAAATCTTTCACAACCTTCAGTTCTTCATTGTGGTTTTTCTAAACCTACATTAATTTTATTCACATTTTTCTTATTCACAATTCTTATCTGCTAAAACAAAGCTCCCTGAGCTTAGTTTCTAAAACTTAAGTGTCTTGAGATCAGTGTAAGTAACATCCCACCATTTACAGCTCATGCTGGCTACTGTGAGGTGGCGGCAACTTCCTGACGTCATTATTCTGGATGAGCTGGAAGTAGAACAGCACAATCTCTTCATAGTTCTGAATGGAGATTCTCTCGTTCACACCGTGAAATCTAAAGGACACAAATGTTTAATTATATAAAAACGTGACATTTCTAGCTGGACAGTGTTACAAAGAGCATTTCTCCTGTGTCTTACCTCTGAGGATCACCTGGTTTGAACCATGACGGAGCAAAGCGATATATATCTTGCGTGATATCCTTGTAGTGACGGCTGTCAGTGTTGCCAACACAAATACCTGTGAGAGGAAATCAGCTCAGTTAAAAGAGGCTCTTCACAAGTCAATGACGTATGTAAGAGGCGGAAAGCAGAAATGCATCACTTGTCTTACCAGGAGCCACCGTAAGCTGAGGAAACATGCTCTGCACTGTTTTCTTTATGATCTGGTACCCGAATGTATTCTCATCATAGGAGCTGATGGGCAGTGGGTCGAATCCATTGACCAGCTCTACCTTCACACGCTCATCTGATACAGTTGACTCGACCAACTCCAGAACCTAAAAGAAGACAATGAATCAAACTATGAAATAGTTCAGACAGAAAGAGTTTTTATTTAACCATTGTAAATAGCATTTGATTTAAAGGGATAGCCCACTGAAAAATTTAAATTCTGTCATCATTTACTCACTACCCATCTACAGTTAATCAGTTTTTAAATCATGAGAAACTGGTTGGTGTGAAGAGCTAAAGTTAATAGATGAGCTATCAGAGTTATAGGCTGGACTGAATGAGTCATTGCTGTGGCAAACGGCGTGACCTCTCACCTCCTGCAGTGTTTGGGCTGAGTGGATACGGAAATTGACAAATGCTTCAGCATATGATGGGATTACGTTAATCTGTCAGAGAAAGAGAAGTAATCAGATCTACCTTCATGCTACTTTGTGAACTAACGTACAACAAAAAAAGAGAGGCCCACCTTTACACCTGAGTTAAACATAGTGACAGCAGTTGTGGTCCTCACAAATGCATTTGTGTCAGGTTTTCTCTCCAACACCCTGCATATGAAAGGGATTTTCCTGGGTTTTACATGCTTACATGTTGCAATTAATTAATAAAGCTTTTACTTAATTAGTTATGAAAAAATAACTCGATTAAAATATTTTAACGCAGTTAACGCGCTGGCCCCGCCCCCAGACCTGTACGTCATCTTACATTCATACAGTTGGCTGTTGACAAACTCCATAAATGCAGTTATGCCCTAAAATTCAAGATACTGGGGCAAAAATGCTCCTGATATAGTAGCGTTCATGAGCACAGAGCTGCTTTGTTTACAGCCGTTACCGGAGAAACCGCTATACTTTTGACGTTCCAAAACCGCCTCCTACTGGCAGAGAATCAAATTGGATTTTCAATAAGCTTGTCTGCTGTTTCCCCCCATCCGCCCATATAATCCTGTTTTAAATTAATATAATAACTTATACTTCTGACTTGTTTCTTTTCTTAAAAAAATGGTTTAAAGACTGAAATGTGAGGTTTATCATTTTAGATATATTTTTTGTTTTGGTGAAAAACTGTATCTCTACTGTAATTAAATCATGTTTTTACAGTCATTTTACAGTTAAATGTTACCATAGACATTGCCCTACCCTGCTCATATGGTATTCATTTTTATTTTTAAATAAATTTTTGCAGGTCTTAAAAAAGGTCTTAAATTTGATTTTAAAAATCCTGCAGACAGATGTAGCTTTGTACACTGCCAGCATCTAGAATGATTTTGCCAGCATTTTAGTGTTCATAACAGAGGGCTCTTTCAACTTGTTATATTTTACAGTTTGTCAATTGATATAATTGTTAATTGTTACAATATAATTACAATATAACTGTTAATTGTTTGTAGGCTTGTACACATGTGCACCCCTCAAAAGCCTGAAACCCCAGAGCCCCCCACATAATAAATCCCAATTTAACCCGCCTATAAAGCCACAGCAGAACTGTTGTGCGTCTGTAAGCAACACAGCCGTGTTTAGTTTCTGAATGAATCCGTGTTTTGAACGAAGTGGGTGAATCAATGATTCAAAGACCCATTCATAAAGTTAGCCGTTTACTGAATTCCTGAATGAATCAGCCGTTTGAACGAATCGAATGAATGACTCATAAAGACATTTACCACAACCTAAACATAAAAGAAGGTATTTTGAAGACACTAATAAAGCTGTTTTGGTTATCAATGACTTCCATTGCATGAATGAAAAAAAACTGAGATGTTTCTCAGATTATCATCTTTTATGTTCCATAGTTTATGATAGGTCGTTGTAACCTAAACGTTTATGTGTAATAAATTTTATGTTGAATCAAATAAAATATTTCTTTCTAAAGCTACTATTTGTAATGTCTACTACTTAATACTTTCTAATTTAACACAAAAATAGCTTTAAATAATCTTTTGGGGGCAATTTCACAGTGAAATGTAATTTGCGATTAATTAATCAACACATCATGCAATTAATTCGATTAAAAATTTTAATCGACTGACAGCCCTAATATATATA